ACCTTGATTAACTGAAGTCTGCAAAACAGGTGGAATAATACCTAGTGCATTCAGCTCCTACTATCAATCTTACAATGGGCTGCATTAACCATTCCCCTTAAAATTGATCTGGAACATGGTGCATACCTGCTATGATGACGGAATCTGTTCTGGAAGGACCGAATTTCAATGTCATCTCATGCTTGAGTTTATGAACAGCCAGGTGGTCTTCATTGGTAAATCTCTGGAATGAGACAAGTACATGCATTTTTATCCTAGAATGTTACATTCTGCAGCAGGATTTGGGTTGGGAAGGAAAGGCCCTAAGACAGAGGCTATAATAAAATCTCTAAAGTGTGCGCTAAACAAAACAGAGCATGACAGATTGTGAGAGAAGTGCTGTGCAAACACAATCTCTCAAAAGTGAAAGGGGGGGGGGGAGGAGAACCATAACATGCCGTGTTCTCAGCCAACAGAAGGAAATGGGTTTAATAATCAAAAATGTTTAAAAGGGGGGGAAAGGCAACAATGTATAGTTACTGCAACTCAACTAGGATAAGTGTATTTCTTTCTCTGCAGTACCCTGCAAAATGTGTCGATTTTGTTATTGACTAATGGAGAGAGAAATTATTTACTACTGGCAATGGAGAGGGTGGGAAGGATCAGCTAATGGTTTGAATTGTGCCAGACAGAGCTGGCATCTAAAAGGTGATTTGATCCTGCCGTTTATGAAACATGACAGAAATAAGCTGGCCCAAGATCTTTATTCTAATGGATGCAAACACAGAGAAATGCAACAACTCAATCATTGCTCCCAGTGAATAATGGCCTGCATATCTCGTGTGCCAGAATATGCTATGCTGCACCTGCAGCATGATTACAAAAAGGAATTAAGCATAGCTGGTCTCTGGGACCTTGGTAGCAAACATGGACACCCTCAAGGCTACAAGGATGTATCATATAGTCCCGCTAGGGGCTTCTAAGCAATGTAAAGGTGTTGATTAATCATCTGTATTTTAGCTAGCCACTGAAATTCTGTATAAACAGTTCTTCCTGCAGAACTGAAAGGAAAAGAAGCAAACAACAGCTATCTTTGTCAGAGAAAGATACCATATATTGTATTCCATTTCCTACTACAGTAAATGCACAAAAACTAGCAGTTTTCTTATTTCAAAAGAAAAAAAAATGCTTTGTTACTTTCACTTAGTTGATAACACTTAAAATGCCATTTTGGTATTAAACAAGCCAAGGCTGCATACAAGGGAAAGATAGAAGACTGATTATCTAATAATAACCTGAGACAAGCTTGGCAGGGGATTCAGCAGTTAACTAATTTTAAAGCACAAAAGGCTAGTATGGGTGGAGAACATGAGTTGGTAGAGGAATTAAACACCTTTTATGCCCGGTTTGAGATGAACCAACTGGAAGTGGAGTTACCATCACCACTACCATTGTGGACCGAGCATTGTGCTCCTCTTGTTGTGAAGGAGCATGATGTTAGGTGTATAATGAAAGCGGTAAACTCTAGAAAAGCTGCAGGACCTGATAACATTCCTGATTGTGTAGTAAAAGAATGTGCGGATCAGTTAGCTGGGGTGTGGACTGAGATTTTCAATCGTTCTTTGCTACAGTCTATTGTTCCAACTTGTCTGAAGGCTTCTATTATTGTTCCAGTACCTAAGAAGTCACCTGCAAATGCTTTAAATGACTTCAGGCCGGTGGCATTGACTTCTGTGATAATGAAGTGCTTCGAGCAGTTAGTTCGGAAATATATTATTTCTTGCCTTCCTGTTACCTTTGACAATTATCAGTTTGCCTATAGAACAAACAGATCTACTGAGGATGCTGTCAATATTGTTCTTCATACTGCCCTATCTCACTTGGAGGAAAAAGGAACGTATGTCAGAATATTATTTGTTGATTTTAGTTCTGCTTTCAACACAATATTACCCCACAGATTGATGTCTAAGCTTAAAGATCTGAAGCTACCAGACTCCATATGTTGGTGGATTCTAAACTTTTTATCACATCGTTCACAAAGGGTTAGGATGAATGGACATATCTCTTCTGCGAAGATCCTCAATACTGGCACTCCTCAGGGCTGTGTATTGAGTCCACTTTTATTCACTATTTATACGTCTGACTGCACCTCCATTCATCTGAGTAATAAGATCATTAAGTTTGCAGATGATACAACGTTGGTGGGACTCATTTCTGATAATGATGAGTCTGCGTACAGGGATGAAGTTCATCAGCTGTCCCTCTGGTGCAAAGTAAACAATCTTATTTTTAATATAAATAAGACGAAGGAATTCATAGTGGATTACAGGAAGAGCAGTTCGGACATTCAGCCGTTGTACATCGATGGTGTTTTGGTAGAACAGGTGGCAGAATGTAAGTTTTTAGGTATCACCCTGAAACAGGATCTAACATGGGGGGCAAATACTTTAGCCCTAGAAAAAAAGGCTCATCAACGACTGTATTTTTTAAGACTTTTAAGATCACAACAACTGCCAGAAAGTCTGTTGCTTGCCTTTTATCGAAGCTCTATAGAGAGCATTTTATCTTATTGCCTCTGTGTGTGGTTTAGTTGTACAGAGGCGGAGAAAAGGGCACTCCAAAGAGTGATAAAAAGGGCACAAAAGATCAGCAGATGTTCTCTTCCCTCATTGGAGGATTTGTACAACATGGGATGTAGAAGGAAGACACAAAAGATCTTGAGAGACCCTTCACATCCAGGCCACCCGATGTTTGAGATCCTACCATGAGGAAGACGATACAGAGTGCTGAAAGCCAAGACAAGTAGATTTCAACATAGCTTTTATCCAAGTGCTGTGATCAGGTTAAATGCAGAGTTATGAATCTGGTGATCTTAACACATATATCCTGGTTGTACAGTTTTTAAATTGTTATTTGTTTTAATTTGTTTTATATTGTTATTTGTATACATCTTTTGGTGTTGTTTAGTTGTATGTTGCGAAAGAGCACCTTATTTCGTTGTTCTCAGGTTCCTGAGCACAATGACAATAAATTTATCTTATCTTATCTTATCTTCACCATAGCTCTACAGAGCAGTTGTTCCATAACTATCAAGTGCCAGGACAAATCAGTACTGTATAGGTACTCGACTTACAACCACAACTGAACCCAAAATTTCTATTGTTAAGTGAGACATTAAGTGAGTTTTGCCCCATTTTATGACCTTTTTCCCCTCAGTTGTTAAGTGAATCACTGCAATCATTAAGTTAGTAACACAGTTGTTAAGTGAATCTGGCTTCCCCATTGACTTTGCTTGTCAGAAGGTCACAAAACCGACCACATGACTTTGGGACACTGCAACCGTCATAAATATAAGCCAGTTATCAAGCACCTGAATTTTGATCACATGATCATGGGCAGAGGTGGTATTCAGCAGGTTCTGACCAGTTCTGGAAAAGCGGTAGGGGAAATTTTGAATAGTTCAGAGAACCGGCAAATACCATCTCTGACTGGAGATTTTGCAGCATCCTTCCCTGCCACGCCCACCAAGCCACCCCCAAAGAACCAGTAGTAAAAACATTTGAATCCCATCACTGACCATGGGGATACTGCAAAGGTGGTCACTGTGGAAAACGGTCATAAGCCACTGTTTTCAGTGCTGTTGTAACTTTAAACAGTTCACTAAATGAACAGTTGTAAGTCGGGAACTACCTGTACTTCATCCTGAGGGTACTCAGAACAAGTAATCCCACACCGAACTGAAACTATATTCCAATGTCCCATTTATTATACATTCTTCCTGTTCTAGTTTCTGAAAAGGAAAAAAAAATGCTTCGGAGTTAACTGAGTGACTGCAACCATGCCTTTGTGTGTGTGTGTATGTGTGTGTGTGTGTGTGTGTGTGTGTGTGTGTGTGTGTGTGTAAACAATGCTCCAGAAGCAGTTTGCAGCGGCTGCTATTTTCTAGAATGCTTTTTTAAAAAAAGCATAGATATGCTCAAAGCGAAGTAAAAGGGTACTAGCAATGCAAGTATTAAAAGCAGGTTTTCCCCTTGTGAGCAAAAAATCAGGATCCATGCTTTTACTCCAAATCCTGCCTGGGGTGTCAAACTGGCAGCCCGCAGGCAGGATGCATCATGTGCAGGCCATGCCCATCCCAGCTCTGCGAATGGGAAAAACATGATGCCATGTGACGGTAATGTGACACCATCAATTTGACACCTGTGCTCTAGGTGGATACCACTACCTGAGAAGCCATACTCATTTACTTCAAGAATGAAGCAGATTATAGGTAGTCCTCAATTTATGACCATTCATTCAGTGACTGTTTGAAGTTATAACGACTGGTCCCTGTAGTTATTAAAGTGCTCTCACAATCACACGATCAAACTTTAACTGCAGGGGTGCTTGGATTCCTCCCCCCCCACACCTGTCTCCCCCTCATCTCTGCCCTTTTGGATCCCTTTGTAGACCCTCACATATCCCTACAGTCCTCTTCCCTCTCCTGCTGCTGGCCTGGGATCCAGATGCTCTGTGGAGATGCAACCCTGGGGTGTGCAGGGTGAATGAGCCAGGGTGGCATCACCTGAGGCCTGGCTGGGGAGGGGGCAGCGAGATGGTGAGGCACAGTACTAAGGCAATAGCAATAGACTTATATACCACAGTGCTTTTACAGCCCTCTCTAAGTGGTTTACAGAGTCAGCATACTGCCCCCAGCGATCTCTGTTCTCATTTTACTGACCTCAGAAGGATGGAAGGTTGAGTCAACCGGTCAGGATTGAACTGCTGGCAGTTGGCAGAATTAGCCTGCAATACTGCATTCTAATCACTGTGCCACCATGGCTCTCTGGGTAAAGTTGGAGGCTATGTGGGACCCAATGTTTGGGGTGGCAGGAGACTGGAGGAAGCGGAGGGACATGGGCTTCCCAGAGTTGCAGTATGCATTCTGCAACTCAGGATGGAAGTGCTCCTAGAAAATCAACCTGTCTATCAATTCACTTTTGTGTATATTTATTTTGTGATTTGAACCTCATTTATTCTTAGACAAACCACATCAATGGACTCCCTTCATATTAGTCACTCGCATTTGCACAATATTCAATCCACCCATTCATTTTGATTCTCTTTTCCTGTTTGCTCATGCAAACTTAATTCAGTCATTTCCACCTCTATTCAATTTCCCTTTATGTTAGTCCTCACATATCCAACTTTCACTTCTATGTAGCAAATTGGGCAGAAACATACTTCTACATTCATTTTTCTTTC